AAAACAAACAGCTGAATTCAAACAAAAGAGAGAGTTAAAGACAATGGGGATGGGTGAGGTTGCGGCGTTTGTAAAGAGAACCCCTCAGAATCTCGTAAGGCACCCGGTACAGTGTGCAGCTGTACGTCTTCTAACGAAGGGTGGAGCGTGGTTACAAGGATGCAGATAGTGAGGTAGACCTCTCTGAAACATAACAACAGCATCATTTCATACAGTCGACCATTACTGCCATCTGTGGGAGCCCAATTGAGCCTGCAGCGAGACGGACGCGCGGCAGGGTCCAATGGCGCAGCCCGCTGACGCACGACGTCAAGACGCGGACCAATGCAGTCCCTGGGTGGGCGGGTCTTTTCCTTGTATTCTGATTGAATCGGTCTAGTTTGTATTAGTTCAACGAGCAGGGAAGTAGGAAGAACGAGGGTGGGGGGACTCTTTTACCAAACAGCTCTTAAACTGTGGATACTGGCCATTCCTTTGCTCCGTTATGGCAGATGCGGAATGATATGAGCTCCAGCCGGGCGCGCCGACTCGTTACGGTTTCATTGTCTGCGGTGCCTGAATCTCACCAGGCTGCTTTCACAAGGATGCTTCAGATGATAACTGCGCAGGGATGCCTCCGCTGAACATGGACAAACAGGGCGTCTGTTACAATGATGAAGGCTCCTTCCTTTTTGTTTTGAACACGGGCCACCCACAGAACCACCGCAACGCTGGCCATGGACAACTTCAACGCTCCTCTCATCCGTCGTTCCTATGAAGAACATTGCGCAGTGCAGTGAAAACCGGATATCGTTGTTGTGGGTTTCGAATTGGTAGTGAATATATTACCTAATAAACTGGTATTCAACTGGGTATCAGTTCCCAGTACAGGCTGTATACATTCTCCAGAGCGTGTCGGTGCACGGTCGATGTAAGGAGCTTTGTCCAGTGGTGAGAGCCACTCTCCGAGGGTACAGATGAGAGGCAAACAATATCATCAACCACTGAAGTTGACAGCGCCTTGGGAGAAGGATGCTGGCTTTGGGAGAAAGCTTAAAACCTACAGGAATCATACCAAGATAATAGCACAGCCTGGGATCGTGATGAAAGTCCTCCGCAGGAAGAGGATTGTGTTATTTATGGCCTATTTCTTACTGTTGGTCCTCACTATGCTTAACTTGGCTAATTATAAATGGACTAAGGAGCCACAGCAGTGTAACCATCAGATGAGGAGCACCACTTATCAGAGCAGATCTGACATTCGCTTCCTGTACAGGCCCTCTCTGGCTAAAAAGAGACAGCTTATCTATGTTCTGACCACCTGGAGGTCAGGCTCGTCCTTTTTTGGGGAGCTTTTTAACCAAAATCCCGAAGTGTTCTTCTTGTATGAGCCAATGTGGCACATCTGGCAGAAACTGTACCCGGGAGATGCAGTGTCTTTACAAGGGGCAGCCAGGGACATGCTTAGCTCCTTATACCGCTGTGATCTGTCTGTTTTCCAACTTTACAACAGCCCCGGGGGCAAGAATTTTACCTCCCTGGGACTATTTGGGGCCACCCTCAATAAAGTGGTGTGCTCATATCCCCTCTGCTCAGCCTACAGGAAAGAGGTGGTGGGGATGGTGGATGATAAGGTGTGTAAAAAGTGCCCCCCTCAAAGCCTTAGACTGTTGGAGGAGGAGTGCCTCAAATATAGCACCATAGTCATTAAAGGGGTGCGCATTTTGGACGTTAACGTGTTGGCCCCACTCATGGAGGATCCATCCTTGGATTTGAAGGTGATACACTTGGTCAGAGACCCGCGGGCAGTGGCCAACTCCAGGATCAAATCCAGACACGGTCTGATCAGGGAGAATTTACAGGTGGTCCGCAGCAGGGACCCTAAACTTCGCCGGATCCCTTTTGTGGATCCTGGTCACAAAGCCAACAAGAAGGATGGCTCAGACTACCACTCCATAGGAGCCATGGAGGTGATCTGTGACCGCACCTCCAGGACTTTGAGGACTGCCTTAAACCCACCCAGCTGGCTGAAAGGGAAGTATATGGCTGTGCGGTATGAGGACCTGGTTGAGAACCCAGTTAAGACCTTGCGGAACATCTACCGCTTTGCCAACCTCACCACCAACCATGACATCGAGTCATTTGCGCTGAACATGACCAGCGGCTCCAGCTCCTCCTCTAAGCCATTCATAGTCTCATCCAGGAATGCCACACAAGCTGCTAGTGCATGGAGAACAGTGCTCAGCATTCAACAGATCAAACAAGTGGAGGACTACTGCCACCACGCCATGTCTGTTCTAGGGTACGACAGAGTCAGAACAGCTGGGGAGGCCAAGGACTTGAGCAAATCACTACTGACACACTCCAAACTGTGAAAACGTACTCACCACCAAAGACCTTTTAATTTAATATTCATTTTGCATCGAGTGCCGTTTCCTCTTATTGTGGAATTAAAGCTTTACTTTAAATCAGTGTTCGAGGATCTCCACTGGCCACATTTGGAATGTATCATGTTTCCCTCAGTTGAATTGCAGTGGTATTTGAAGGGACCACTCCTTTTATACTGGAATATTGGATGTTTGACAATGCAAGGCCTACGAACAATGACTTAATCAGTGAAGCTGCAACAATGAAAAAAACAACAACTGTATAATTCATGTATCTTGTTATGATGACACAACAAAGTGGATGTTTTGGGGTTATTTTTGAATGTTAAAAACCTTACAAGAAATCTGTTTTTTCAGTCTCCATACTGTCTGTAAAAGTGAAAATAGTTGATGAAAGAAAAAAAACAACGAACAACTGATTTAAAAAAAAAAAAAGCTCATTGCTTAATGTTTATTTGTAAGATTTGGTTGAAGTCAGAGACAATCAATAAATTGGTTTGTTGATGTGCCATAGGTAGAGGTGTGATAAGTAGGCTACATCAGAGGTAGCAGTAGTGCTATTTCTAGATTTAAAAAAAAAGAGGATGTCTTGATTTTTGTCACCAAATCCTGGTAGGATGATATCATGCACTGTGGACAATGTCATGGCTCTGGAGCTGGAAAGTCTCTCTCGGTGTCGGTGTAAGCAGTCTGTTCTACCATTTCAAATGTTTACAATTGCTTGCTCTTATAAAAACACACGATCTGGGAATATTGCATCAAGTAAAGTACACAGTTAACAAACAGTTTATGCATCTGTGTTGAACAAGCCGCAATGCTGTACATGTAAAAATCATGATCAAAAACATGAGCGCTACGTCAGTGGTTCTCAAAGTTTGGTGCATGAGGCAAGGTTCCCTTAAAAATGCAAATAAAATAAAATACAACATGGCAAGCCACTGGATTTAATCAATGTTGGAATAACAAAAACCTATGCTATTAATATGTATTTTTAATTACATATAGATTTTGTAATAATTTAGCTCTTTGTATGTATGAGATGTTTCAAGGCATACCTCAGTTCACTGCATTATGCACCACTGTGCCTTCCCTCACCATTTGAGAACCATTGTGCTGGAATAATGCTCCACATTTGTTGCTATTTGCTACATAACTTGAAGGTGCCCTATGGAGGTTTACTGTAAACAAAAGGATCTGTTTACATTCAGCATTTCTCACCAAAGAACATGGCGTGTATCTTCGAGGTCTAATTACTATGTTTAATGCATTCTCTTCGTCGTGAAATCATTGCAAAGCATATTTTTCTTAACCTGCATGGTTAACATCGGTGTACTTCTTGGCAGTCTTCTTCTTCCAGCCTTTGCTGGTGCATTGATGTGTTTCTTGGTACTTCACCGCTACCCTTACATCCGTGGAATAGTGTGAAACCATTGTGAAATATGTATTACATCATCTGCACGAATGCACACACTAGAAACATTGCTTTATAACGTGAGTAGTGGTCAAAACCTCCACAGGGTACCTTTACGTATGTGTCATAAATATATTATTTGTAATAGTCAGAAATACTGTAATAATTAGTTGGTAGAAGTAGTTACTACAGCCGCTTGAGAACTTCAATTTTTTGGCACCACAACCTCAAATATTTCAGAGAAATGGCTCAACAAGGGGAATAAACTCAGATGACCTGAAAACAAACTTATGAGTATAAAAATTAAAGGTTAAAACTGATTTTCCTCCTACTACATCTAGATTTTGATGTGCTGAGGTTAAAGCTTCACTTCAGTAAAACAGCTTCGTTGCATTTGGTTTTGTGATGATCAAAGTGCCCAAAAAGTTGCACTCGGAAACCTGAGCAGGCAGCGTTTTCCCTCAAGGTTACGCAGAAAAGTTGTAAGGCCTTGTTGTGAACAGTTGGTTCCTCCTGCACAGAGATAGATGCTGTAGCTGGTGGGCGTATGTCAATGAGTAGTTTTCAATGAAAATAAGGTTTGTGGTTCATCTGAAGGAGCTGTCATACGGGGAGAGCATTTTGGGTGACCTGTACAGACAGTAGCTCCAAATCTTAGCAAACCACAGGAAAACTAGTAAGATTGTACTCTGAATTAGATGGAGGAGGATTCCTGGTGAAAGGCTGTTGCTATCATTTGGTCCCCTTGGCTCAGAACAAAACTGAATTCAAACTCCAGTGCAAACAAAGGGTAATACATTGTATGTTTTTGCTGCAATTGAGAACACAAACAGAGGAGCATTCCATACATGCACCCATGCATTCAAAACATAAAGAAGCCCCCACTTCAAGGACAATGGCTTTATTAATGTGAGAGAAACAGTTTGCATATTCACAAAGCTTAACCTTCACAGATTGGATTTGTGCAGATAACAACACCCTGCTTCACACAGGGGGGGAGGGGGCCCTGAGATTTATGAAGATGCGCTCAGAAGGCAGCAAAGTGCAATCTATAAAGAAGTCTCACATGCAGATAGTCTCTTTTCTGAATGCCGTTAATATACTAAAGCATTTGGATGTATTTTAGCTCGCTGCAGAATGATAAGCAAGACGTGGAGAGCGACAAGGGGCTAATTAATTCAGTGAAATACATTTTGAATGAGTTAAAAAGGATTGCGGAGGAAAACAGTGCAATAAAAGTTTAATAAGGAGTTGGGGAAGAGCAGAGCAAAGTTGGCAAAAAAATACCATTTCAGCTGATTAAGGGAAATACCGTAGCTTTCAATCACAGTGGATGCTCATGAGCAATTCCCCCTTAAGCTTGAAAGCAAGACATTATGTAACCAAGTAGCACGAAGCAGCTTTACTAGCAATTAATGTGTGACCAGAACTGTTGCATTATAACATTGCTTGCTGTGTCAAAAGTACACTGTGCACACATAGGTCAATTTCTGCCTCCTGTTTGTTGTGTAAGGCATTTAAACTGTAAGTTTAAGCGACAAATCGCTCTATGTCAGCTATTAAATTCCTTGAAACTGAAGCAAAACAAGCCAAGAAAATCATCAGCGGAGTAGCAGAAAGAGCAATGGCCTTTGTAATTGTTATTTCTTCTTCTGTGCAAGTGTGTCTTTGCATGCATGTCAGCACAAGGGGGGTGTGCATGACCTTTCCGGAGCTATTGCAGCTCTTGACTCCCGGTCGCCCCCTCTTAGATGCCCTGGCCAGTGACCCCATTCACTGTGGGAGGCAGGGGTCTTAGCCTCAGGGCAGCGGGGGCTGAAAGGCTGGGGTTAGAAGTAACTCCTGGAACTTCAGGCCTCCATGGGCAGAGCTGCAGCAGTGCCAAGACCCAGGTCTCCCTCCAGCAGGTCTTCCTGGTGCTCGGATCCAGAGTCACTTCTTTTAGATTCAACCTGGTCCTCGGTTTTCTCCAAATGAATGAAGGTGGAGTCATCTGGTTCAATCTCACACAGCTCTTCATCCTGAAAAGCAAGTGAAAAATTATTAATTAATTATATTAATTGATAGCTTTATTTTTTTTCCTTTTCTCTGAAGATATGCACAGTATATAGCAACACAAGGGAAGTCTTACCTCCTGGACTTGGACTCTGCCGAAGAGTCTCGAAAACACCCCACACCACTGTGGCAGTGAGTCAGTCAAAGGAGGGCCACAGTGTGTCAGCAGCGGCTTCAGATATCTGTGACCTTGTTAAGGTTACATTGTTATAAAGTTATGCGTCAATTACAGTAAGCAGGAGAGAGGAAATTGTTTTGTTTTTAGCTGTTTCTGGATCTGGCCCCAGGCCACAAAGTTATAACTGTAATTAATTTTAGCAGAACCAAAGCACATCCCACTAGGGGCACATTTTGCGATTATGTGTGAAAATAAGTAATTGCAGTGCTTTACTGACGGATTTTAGACGCTTCATAAAGATGATCAAGGTTTAACATCTTAGTTGTATCACCATAGCTAATTATGTGAATTATGGGTGGGACCAAAAGGTTTTGGAGGAATGTTGTTTTAGCCCCAGATGTGGGAGGGCAAATCAGAGGCCACTGACTATGTTAGAAAGAATTGGCTAAAATGAGTCATTCTTTTCTGGAGAAAAACACACACACATCCATAAATGAGAATATCTTTTACAGAAGTGATATACATAGGAACAGTAAATATGGGACTTTTTTACCATGTACAGCTGTCAGAAGTACTTCTCTGCTGAAAAATCCCAGTCACTGTCACACATAATACACATCAGTCAGCATGTCACTGAAGTATTTTTAACCATATTTCCTGTTTTGTTTTTTACAATGCAAGCAAAAAGTTAAAATATAAAATACAAGGAAGATTGCCACACTTCCACCAGGCACAGCAGTGAGAGGCTGAACAATGACACAGCCATTTTCAGATTTCACTGACATCACTGCACTCATTCCCTTAATGCAATGTCGAAATGATAAACATTTATGCTATTATATTAAGCATAATGTTCCTCTTATATGACCATTGTCAGCTTGCCATCATTAAGTGCTAGTGGCTTTTTCAAAACAGCATACTGCAGAGAGCTGGATATTAGTCATTCAAGCTTTAGGTGCTATTTTTGTTCCAGTTTGTAAAGATGTTAGCATATTTAATATACACATACCAGCTCTTGTCTGCTGCTGTCTTAAGTAATAAAAGCCCACAATAAAATATGCAATAAAGGAGGACGCCCTGGTAGCTCACTTGGTAGAGCCTAACTGCAGCAGCCTGAGTTCAATTCCAACCTGTGGCCCTGTGCTGCATGTCACCCCCTCTCTCTCTCTTTCTCTCTCCCCACCTTCCTGTCTCTCTTCAGCTGCTTCTATCTAATACGCAAAAGGCAATAAAAGTGCAAAAATTAATCTTTTTACAAAAAAATTACAACAAAAGACTTTCCAGGAGGGAGCGCCTTACAAGAGCACAGCTGCAGAGGGCTTGATAGAGATAAAAAATAATTTACTCACAGAAAAAAGGCCGTGTTATCTTGTTTCAGGCAAGACGGGTCAGTCTCGCACTTGATTAAAACCAGAGGCAAGGTCAGAACTGGTCTATAAATGTGTTAAAGTGTTGATAAAAGGCAATAGCGGCGAGCATGTCTCGAATTAGTGAGAGCGGGAGTAGGAAGCTGTTTTTGGATGCCAGATGTTAGTCCTCTGGAGGTGTTGTGAGCTAAAATCACCTAACACCTATGATGGTATTCAGTCACTTGATAACAACAATGCTATATTACACACCCACTACTACTTCTTTTCAGGCCTACATTTCTGCAAACAGTAACTTGGTGACAGCCAATCTTGTAATACACTTGATTCTGTATCCTATCCATTGTAGGCCCTAAAAAATGGCAGCACACTTATTAGCTTTTAGCTGTAAACAACAGTTCTAATTAATAATCAGATCCTTAATAAAGCCCTCCTGCAGGTGTTCATACTTTGCTCTCCTTGTGACTTGGAAAAAGACAAAACAATACTTAAACAATCCTGTAATTTCTGGACGAAAGGAACCTTTGTACCCCAGAGCCTATAATGAATAATGCGGGACTTAGACGTGGCACGCAAGTACACAATCCCCTGGCATGAGCACAGAAACAAAGGGAAGAGGAAACTGATCTGTTATTTGGTGCCAATTCTTACATTCTAGTGCTGTTATCAGCAATATGCAAGAGGTGGGAATTATGGGCACCATTCTGCCAGCTAACTGGATTTATTTATAAATGTCTCAAATGAGGAAGAGAGGGAGAGAAAAGAGGGTGGAAGATGAAGAGGTAGAAAAGGAGGGAATAATGACTTCCTTGGGACCTGCAGGAGTGAGTTGTCTTCTTGTCGGCACGGTGTCCTCCTGCTCCATGCCGGCATCATACTAGACAGCGATGGTAATTATAACTGCTGGAGCTGCTTTCTGCTCCACAACAGTGTCAGGTTGTTTGTGTGTGTGTGTGTGTGTGTGTGTGTTGTGTGTGTGTGTGTGTGTGTGTGGGAAAAGGTGCTGAGTAGTTGTGTGGAGGTAGAAGCCCAACTGCTGCTTCAGCCGTCGTCGAGTAAAGCTCATTCCCTTCCTACATGTCACCTTTTCCTGACCTCTAATCAGTCAGTGGGCAAAAGTAGGTACCTGAGTACATTTACTCCACTACTGTACTTCACACTTAAAAGAACAACAAAATAAAGAAGATGAACTGAAAAAACAATTCAATTAAATGGATAAAAGATGAATAGATCAATACAAGTATTATTGTTTAGGTTTTTCTCATGTAGTCGTGGAGATAACCCAAAACCATCTGAAACATATGTCTGTTTAAAGAGTGTAGGCATCTCATTTGAATGTTAAAAAAGCATCTTGATAAACCATTTTTTAACACATTAAATTAGAATCTGATGATTTCTAATTTAAGAACATAATTTTTTTGGGCTGTGACAATATCTCCACATTAAACAAACAGTTTGGTAAACATGCTTATTCCCTTTTTTGCAGCTAATTAGACAGTTAGATCAATACAATTCTCATATCAGTTAAATATGAGGTGCCAGCTTGCAGCCGTTAGATTAGCTCAGTGATTAGCGAGCCTGTCTCTGTCCAGTGGTTTGCTTCTATTTCTTTCATGCATAGCGGCTTCCCGGAGTCTTGTTCTCACCGTGAAGTTGCCAGATAACCAGCCCAGACCCCAGGAAGTAGACAGATTTTTGTTTGTAACTGTATTTTAGTGGGAAATATTGCACTTATTTTTTTTATCCCACTACATCTATCTGACATCTGCATTTCCCTTGCAGATTCAAATTTTTACATATGACTCATATTATCATCTTATCAATACAACGCATTGTGAGAGATTACACTACCCAACTGTGTGTAAAGTATATACAGTAAAATTAGATTCACTCTGAGCAGCTATAACAATAAAATGCTGCTTATAATGCATCAGTAATAAAAATCCAACAATATAATGCACTCTGAAAGGGGCCATACTCTATAATGAGTACTTCTACTCTCACACACAATACAAAATGTCAGCAGCTCATATTTACAGTTGATGCCACCTCTCTCTATTTTTGTATGGTACTGTTTATGCTTTGCTACTGTGGTATATTATATAATATCATAAATGTAAATCACCAAGACAACCATGTAATGCAGTCACCCTGGGTGTCTTAAACACGGGTGGCCCCTGAGATTCCAATGTCAAAACAAAAACATTGGTTTCCAGCCCCAAAACCACAGGCTGCAAACCCCCTTCAGCAGCAAAGATCAAACAGGCTTTGATGTCTGTCAAAATCAGTGCTTAGAGTAAAACGTTTGTCCTAATGAGCCTTAAAGTCCGGCTGACGGGGAAACAGTTAAGGGAAGCAGCAGTACAGTATTCCTTTAGGATGAGACACCAGCGAGCCAGGCTGAGGCTCAATTACCTGGCAGCAGGATCCAGGCTAAGGCTCCTCTCACCTGGTCCACATCAAAGCATCTCCATAATACGTTTTTTTTTTTTCCATCAATAGGAAACAGTGGCCAGGACTGCGCCTTTCATCCTGCTCACGGCTTCTCTCATCCACCCTCGCTCCCACTCTTCCTCTCTCTTGCTCACATTTGCGTGCATCCACAAACATTCTGTCAAATGTGTAAATGAACCCACTATGTAGACTTTTAACCATAGCCAATGGGTATGGGTACACTCTTGTTTAGTTACTATGGTTACACAGATTGCAATGTTGTGTTGCAAGTAATGAAAGCTTGAAATCTGTGTAACCAGTGTTTTCAGGGTGTCATATTATATGTGTGTGTGCTAGCACATTTATCAACTGTATGGCTGCTTTGGTAGACCTAGTTTTGCTCTAGGTGGGGTGATCTGGTGGCTGAATGAGCTGCCCATCTGCCACACTTTATCATGGAGAATGGGAGAGGGTGTTCTCCAGGGACGGCTTTGATCTTATCCTTCATGCCCTCTTCTCTGCCACTGACTCCAGACTGTCCAGTTCTAGCCCGAGCAGAGAGCTGCCCTTCCTTAACTAGCTTGTTGAGTCTGCTGGCCTCACCAGCCTTGATGTTGCCACCCCAGCACACCACAGCAAAGAACAGTATTACTACAGACTGGTACAAGGTCTGCAAGACCCTGTTGAACACACTATAAGATATGAGTCTGAGGAAGAATAGGCATCAGTGTTGTGAGATCAGTCCAGTCATTGATTTGGATCCCAAGGTACTTGTATGAGTCCACCCTCTCCACATTCTCTCACTACATGATAGCCAGCCTGCTGCTCATCTGGTAGCCTTTTGGTCTTACTGATTGAGTTTCAGGTAAAATCTCTCCATCAGTCCTCTGTATGCTCCAGATGGTGGTGAAAGTGCTGGAGAAGGCGAAAAACATGACTCTCACAGAGCTCCCCTGCTTCTCCAGGTGTGAGAAGGTTGTTGTGTGTCAGGAAGATGATGGCATCCTCCACCATTCTCCGATGTGTGAAGATGTAATGTGTTGATTAGTGAACTTTAAAGGTGCTGGTAGGTGGATTTTCTTACCTTGGTGCAGATTCAGGAGAGTTGTTGTTCTTATTTCCAGCATTTAAGCTATATTTATCATATAGATCTAAAAGTGGTATTAAAGTTCTCAACTAACTCTTAGCAAAGTGAATAAGCAAATAATAAGCAAATGTTCCAAATATCAAGTGGAAAATGCTTTACAAAGTATTTTTATTCAGCTGCTTTTTCAATTCCGTCTAGACTTTTATTCAATGTGTATTGTCAGAAAGTGTGTATAATTCTATGTCACATAACCTTCTGCTGATAACTGGATTCTAATCCTTTTGAAATTTCATCAAATATTGTCTGAAAAACGCCTTCAACAGTTCAAAGCTGTATGGAACCTTTAATTAAGAGTATTTTTTCTCAAAGAGTAAGAGTTTCTTTATTTCTTTGGGCAATAACTATAAAAAACAAGTAGTCTGTTCTAAGAAAAGTCGTTTTTGAATTAATGTTCTCAGAAGCTGCAAGGTTGTGCAACAACAAACCACGTAATGTCAAATAAAAGGCAGGAGGGACACTAAGTTCTGTGCTTCACAGGGATTTTTTAAGGTCTTCAACCACATTCACCTTTTCTGCATTTTGTGGTTTAAGAGCCTAAACCGAAAATGGGTTGGATTAGAAACTTCCAATCCTTGCTAATAAATCAAATACAAATGATTTTCTAAGATGAGCTGAAATGAATTCCTTTATAATGTGAAGCACAAGGTTTGATAGAGACTTGGCAGAGTTTATCTCTCATCCGACACCATCCTGTGAAAAATGTTGGTGGTGGCAGTATCATGTTGTGAGGAGGCTTTTCAGCAGCAGGGACAATGGCGACTTGTAAGGACACAAAGGAACAAGGAAGAAGCACTTCTCAAAGAATATTTCAGAGGGTTGCAGACAATAGAGCGGAGCAACGATGTATGAAAATATCCTATTGAATATCTAAGAATTACTTTAAGGAATTGTTCACAGAGGTTTCCTATTCAGTTTGATGATGTTTGAGATGACAAGGAACAATGTGAAAAAAAAATCTACAAATCTAGGAGGCCATACAGACAAAACCAGAAAAACCTGAGGCTGTAATCGCTGCCAAACTTGTCTCGAGAAACTAATTACTTTGGTTGAAAGCTGAGGCTTCCGTTCTTAATACAATCATAAAAGGTTTCTTGCGACACCACAAAATACAAAAACATTGAGGGATTTAAATTGTTGACACTGTTAATACAGATTCCATTTCCTCATAAACTCTGCTCTACTGAGTGTCACACTGTTGTCATAGAAAATTGACAAGATTCAACAAGCCTAAGTATGACGCACGTCTCTCCTGTGATTGTATAATCCAACATACTCGTTGACTTAAGACTGTCTTGTTTTCCATGAACAGAGCACATACAGCTAAACCTGCTGTTTTGGAACTTTTCTAATCCACAGTGATGGTTAATGGTTTACCAACAATGGCCAATCATATATTCACTTTAAATGCACTCCTCTAAAAATCCAATTTTAACATTAACACACTCATGCATTAAATGAATACTCTAAATTAATGTACTAACAGACCTGTATCTCGTTGTTTTGCAGTGGAGATAGAGTCCATAAAGTAAAATGATGTGCTCCTTACCGAACACCGGGGCCAGGTCATGGGGCCATTAATTGGTAAAATTAGATTAGCTTAAACTTAATGCAGTCCTCATGAAATTCCACTGCAGGGGACAGAGCCGTTTTCTTACTGCCAAATGATTTAACGATATCCTCTGCTTACAGGAACCCAGTTCACCCTGCAGTCAACAGTAAATACTTTAAAGCAATAGTTTGACATTTCGGGAAATACACTTATTCAATTTCTTGCCGAGAGTCAGATGAAAAGATCAATACTACTTTCATGTTCATACGACAAAGATAAAGGCTACAGCGAGCCACTTGTTAGCTTAGCTTAGAATAAAGGCTGTTGTGGTTTAACCCACTGTAAAACCACAGTTTCTTCTTTAAGCACTTTAAATCTGGTTACATTTTTGTTCAAATTGATTTGATTAAACAAATGTAATATAATAAATTAATTTGTGAACATTAGCAGTGCTGGTCAGTGGATTTTGTTGGTCAAAAATATTTCTTACATACATACATAGATGCATTTTAATACACATTTAATGGAAAACTAGTATAATATGTAAGTTGTTTTGATACCACTGTGTTGACATATATACTGTATAAGTGCTTGGGGACCACCCACCTGAAGTAGTTCACAAACTTTCTGTTTGTTCTGTATCAAAGAACATATGGGTCTTTCTTCACATTCCCTGAAACGAAGCACTCTGGTCTTTTTCCTTGTACTCATTGTATAATACTACTCCAGTGCATTAACCATTATGAGTGCCAGCAGATGTGAGAGTGCTCCGGAGAAGAAAGCAGTGAAAGGATACTTGTAGTCCAGACAGTGCCATAGGCTCCGGTTTGTGTCTGGCCTCCCTGTAGCAACCTGTAGGCCATGAGAGAACCACTGTTACTCATTGACACACACAGACCCTCTGGGGTGGCTATACATGCTGCCTGATGGAAATGCTGGTAACATGCACCCCTGGATGGTCAGCGGGGCCATATCCAATGACCTCCACTTTTACAAGAAAAACCCCAGGCCCTGTGCTTATATAGGAAAATCCTGTTCAAAAAACTGCAAAGCCACTAGAGATTCCTTCTTGCTACAGTAAGAACATGCCCCCAGCGGACTTTCACCCAGGGCAAGGTTACATTTATCCATTTCCATGAGAAAGAGCCCTGGAGCTCGGCCTCGCCTCTCCACTGGGATTCTCCTCCAGACTTACCTGCCACGCTGCCTATTCTGCCTGCCCCCCTGGCCTCATAATGCCAGGGAGCTGCCCAGACCATGTCCCATTCACAGCGTGCGGATAAGAGTCAGGTCAAATAAGAAGATGAAAGAGAGGGAATGGAGTGCTGGGAAACAGTGATGGTGGGGTGGGAGGGGAGGGAGTGTGGGTGGATGTGCCTGTGCAACAAAAAAGGTACACTGAGAAGGTCTGCGTGCCAGCAAGGATGTGCTAGAGACTATCATTTAGCAGGAAGCAAAAGTGCATTTCCTTCTCTTGAACCTCTTTTATACTTTGATGTCATGCGGTGTTAAAATAAACAACAGAGCCAAGATTAAAGGGTAGAAGCTTATGTGTCACTGGGAGAGGATGGCAGGCAAATCCTCGCTTTGCACATAATGTGTAAAAATGCTACGTATTGTGCAGCACGTGCAAAACACTACCTTTAGTAAACATGTACACACTCAAAATGTGACGCAGTACAGCCCTGCAGCACTTTTGTGGTGATTAAAAATAGCTCTTAAGCAAATTAAGTTTCATTGTCTTTGAATGCGGCTGCTGCTCTCCCACTTTGTTCCCTCCAGTGCAGAGAGCTGCAACTAAGCAGAAACCACAGCTCATAGCACAGTCCACTGTATACATATGTAGAATCACTTTTTACAAGCTGAGTATTGAGAATAAGTGAAGAATAGAAGCTGCTGAAGTCATCTGGAAAGCAAATTAAGCTGCAGAGTTTCTTTTTAATTATAATTCTTTGGTCGTCTTTAAAGATGTTGTTATGAAAATCATTTCATCAGTGTTTATGGCGTCGTTTTAGGTTTTGTAAGATGTTTCCTACTGGCATCTGTCATTTTTCTCTCCATATTTTGAAAATTAGCTCCATGTTTTTAAAGTTTTATGTATACTGGCAGGGACTTTTCATGAAAAATTAATCCCCTGAATACCTAAACTGAATCACATAAAACTCTAGGTAGATCATTAGGCCTACTGTTCGCAATGATGTTAATGTTAATGTTTTAAAGCACACAAAAACAACCACTGACTGTAGTGTAATGCAATAATATTGAGTAGCACTAATGCTCAAAACTCTAAATGGGATTGATGAGAAATGTACAAGAGCTATCAAGAAAAGATAAGATAAGATAGACTTAATTGATCCCACAGCTAAATGGAGGTACAATGATATTAAACAATGACGTCAGAGTTATGCTTTGCTGTCTGGTATATACAAAATTAATGTTTTATAACCTACTTTAAAAAAAAGAGCATTTTACATTGCAACATACGCAATATGTGAGGTAATTCCACTTATTTAAGCTTTCAATAGGTAGTTCTATGAATACTTTCTACATAATTGAACAGAGATTTACTGGACATCATATTTTGTATGCAGTCCTGTAGATGGAAGCTGCTGAAGCATGACTATTTCAAAGGGCCACTTGCAGCAGAACTGCCCAGGTTCATATTGAAATGGCAGTAAGCACAAAGACTGCGACAATAAACAGAGTGGATAAAATATGGATTACAGAATAGTGACAATAAGGTGATTTTACCTCAAAAGAAAGGTCCTCTGGATTTTCATCTGCATCCACCCCCATTCTGTAGAGAATGAACCAAGTACAATCAAGCCCTGACTCAATTCAATAAAAATGACAAAGAGACAGAGACAAATCCCAAGGGTCTGATCCTCCACTACATGTGACGCTATACCTGTTCAAACTGTCTGTCTAGCGCTGCATTTGACTTCACAATGAAAGGGAAAGTCAGTGTGAAACTCGGCTCAGTTTGAACATGACCTTTCAAACTGTTTCATCCAAATCAGCCTCGTCTTCCACATCACACCAAGAAAATGTCAGCTGGGTAAACCTTTGATAAATGACAAAACAGCGTAGCAATTATGCTTGATATTCAGTTTGGCTGTGGTTATTACCCCTTCAAGGTGTGAACCTCAGTTTGCTGCAGGCGTGCTTGAGCAGCAGGGCTGAGAGGAGAGGCCCACTGGCTGCTCGCTCGCTCTGAATTGAAATAAAGTGACTCAGCACTGGCCAGTGACAGCCTAGTGAGCTGCTTCATCGCGGAAACAAGGGCGTTATCTCATCGTGTGCCCGCATTCTCCTGCATCTATATACACTGAACAGAACCCCCACACTGCAGCCCCATCATAACTTTATTCTTCTCCTTTCTGAAGTCACGTGATAATAATTTCTGAAATCATCATCAAAGTCCTTCCTTCAGTAAACTGTGGGTGTGTAATTTCTCACATAGCTCAGTGGGATGCTGAGTGCGAGATGGCTGTCGATGCTAGTTCTTACAGGTCAGCAGTTAACTCTAATAGCCTAGCATTACTCCTGCAAGGCTCAGGACATTTTGAAGATACCACTATCACTGTGCACTGTGTGTGTGTGTCTGGCTTTGTGCGAATCTCGAATGTGCTGACGCCAAAGCCTTTCACTGAGAGGTTTGTGCAATAACACACAAGAGAGGTGATTCTCATCAGAGCGTTAGAGCGCTGAGGCTACTTAAGGTCGTGCTAATTTTATTTGTCTTGGCTGCCGTCCCTCCATGTTACATCTCCGATGTTTGTCTTTGCGGTGTTTCAATTTCTTCTTTTTTCTTTTCTTTTACCATCACTCCTTTTGTTATTGGTTCTCACATGCAGTATGAATGGAGGCTATTATGAACCTTATCAATAAAACATCATGGGCATTAATTTGATTGGCTGGTTGTGGCCTATCCTAACAAACCATCCATCAGTTTGTTTTTCTTTTTCACCATCTGTCCCTCTCTCTTCCTCTCTTTTTTTGTTTTTTTCCCCTTTAAGTTCCTCTCTACGCCCTTCTTTATCTAAGCCCCATCAATCTTTTTCTCTTTCTTTATTTTTGCAACCTAATATTTTTTCTGTTCCTGTTTTACAAAATACTTTGCTGTCCTCGCTCTTCTTAGAAATGTCTCATTGTCTTCCACTTTCATCCAACTCTCTCCCTTTTTATCATCTCAAAATCCATTTCACTCCCTCAGATCACTCTTCCTGTCTTTATCACCTCCCACCTCCTCTTAATTCTGTTTCTTTGTCTCCTCCTACCACCATCTCTGGTTCTCTGCTTCTCTATTTATTTTCTGCCCACCACATGTATCTTTTCTGCAGAAAAGAGGAATTGAGGTTGAAAATGTGCTAAAATTGCAGATGAATATAAAGAAGGTGCTTCTGTCTGTTCTGTGAATCTGTCGTTATTATGCAACATTGTCTGGGTCCACACTCGAGCAAGTTGTTTTGGTGTAGTGCAAAGTGTTGTGGCTGTGACGCATTGCCTTCAGCTGGTGAGATACATTCCATGGCAGTAGGCTCTGTCACTGAGAGGCCAGGCTGATAAACAGACGGAAGGGCAGATAAGGTGTGAGGTGAAAGAGCAAGAAGAGGAACACAAACTGAGGCTAGCGCAAAAAGAATAAAGGGAGGAGAGCAAAAACAAGAGAGTGAGTTCCAGTTACCTGATCACGATGGTGAGTGAGATAGTCTGCAGTGACATGAGAGTGACAGAATGAGTAGGTGCTGCTGGAGAGAGGGAGAAATGGTGAGTTTGGTGAGTGAAAGATTGACTAACAGAAGGACATAAAAGAGAATAGAAGAGAATAGAAGCGGCAAGGGGGGGGGTGTCTTGTTTGCAAGCATGGGATGACGGTCTGCTTCGGAGAAAATATTTCGCTGTCAGCTAGCCTGCTCTCACAGTATCACATTTTTTTAAACTGATGTGACCCTTTGCCCTTTTACCCTTCTCTGCAACACACTGACATTCAACACAGTCAAATCTAAACTAATCTAACTACTCTAGTTCACAGACATGAATCCGCAAATGAGTGGACTGCCAGAGACACATTTGAGGAGGACAGAGAGAGGAGGAAAGTCTGTAAACTTTGAATAAATGTATATCTACTTCAGGAAATAGGGTCTGATACAAGAGCTGAGTCACTGATACTTCTGTAATGAGCCTCCATAGAGGTATGCAATCCTGCTTTGGCCCAGTTAACTCCCAAAATGAGGTGGAGTTCCTTCCATTCTGCAGGGAAATCACACCCCTCCAATCGATTCAGTCAAAAAAGAAATACACAATGGAGTAACTCAATATCCCGCAATCTGGCGAGATTGTAAGATTGAGTTGTGTCTGCTTTTCTACCACTCATCTGCAGCCTCTAAAACCAAAGTCTATGCTTCCTTCTCTGTTTGTGGGCTCTTAATGTGCTGATACCATCTCAACTGTCTTGTGCCAAGCTCCACTGTGACTAAAATATCTCTGGGCACATTCCAGGATGACATAGCGTGCTGCACAAGGCCTTCACTGACGACTCATCCAGGCTTTTGGAGAACGTTGCTATTAATATGAACACGTTGTGAGGTTTCTGTGTTTGTGCTTTTTAAAAATTGTCAGAGAAAGTAGCTGATTTTTTTTTACTACATCTGTACTATATCTTATCAACACATATATAAACATAAAAAGGTTGGAAATTACACACCGAGAAGGATGTAGAAAGCACCCACGCCCATCCATAAACACCTCCTTGCATGCTTATATTTCCACTGTGCCTCATAGAGAAAAAGAAGAGGAGCAAAATAACTAAGGCCTTGAGCAATGATGTATTATGTGTGTGTGTACATACATGTGTGCCTGTGTCTCCGTTGCGTTGTTATCAGGCAGGCTGACAGTGGTGGGCTGATAAAGCTGCTTGGTGTGCTGTAGGCGTACTGTACACAAGGCCTCCAGAGAAGACGTTGCAACATCACAGAAACGTCAACTACTTTTCACATATGGCTCATTTATAATATATCTTCTTATTTCGGAAGGCAGTCTTCAGGTAGAAATTAACCGTGTTTACATGCAGGCAAAACATTTTCCTCGCCATCCTGTCCTCAGGAGGAGAAAATCTCCACTTGATGTGATTAGCAGTACTGGTTAATAAACATTGGGATGAGTTTCTTCTTGAGTGCAAGTACTCAAGTAGCATATACTTCAACAGGCAGGATAAATTCAGTTACAACACTCCTCCCCTCTGCTGTGCAATTTCCTCTACTTGCTGTTGTGACAGGGAAAGAGAGAGAGAGAGAGAGAGAGAGAGAGAGAGAGAGAGAGAGAGAATGAGAGAGAATTAGATGGGGGAGCATAGAGAGATAGAGATAGGAGACTAAGGGAGCGGAGTCTCACAGGGACTGTGTTTGCTCTATACTGTGAGTTTGGACAAGAGAAAAGCTCCAAATCATCCTCCCAGTTTCCTGTTTGCAAATCCCATTTGGTTGTTCTTCTCACCAGGGGTTCACATGGATTTCATATTCCACAGCGTACACTCCTCCCAAAGAGATCTGAATTTGGAACCAGCCTCTATATAAACACGATGCACAACATCAAGTACTGAAATTCCCAGGATACCCTGCAGTACATTATTATGATTATTATTATTATTATTATTATTACATTATAGTAAAAAAAAAAGCTCCACCTTTACCAGTCGTAATATGAATGGAATGTACATAACTGTGCATCAATAGTTATCATTAAATCATATAATATACATTACTCTGAAATGAGCCATTGTGTATAATGAGTACTTTTTACTTTTTGTAATTTCAGTATATTTTGATGTTAATATTTCTATAAAAGTAAGTAAAACTTTTAATGACTTTTACTAGTAACAGAGTATTCCTACACTATGGCATTGCTACTTCCCACATAACATGGATTTCAATTGTTGCATCATATAAATTGCGTTGCAAACTAAAAACAAGCTTAGATTTAAATAACAAGGAAGCTAGAGCTACAAGTGCTAGAGAGCCAGGACCAAATGATTTAAACAACCTGTTGGAATAAAGGGCGCCTTATTAATAATTTGGTTTTTAAAAAGCACATCAATAAGAATACATGTATCTGCAGACTATGTAGGGCAGGAGTTGTTGCCATAGGAGGCAATCCACGCAACATCTTATGTCAACTGAAAAAGAAAACATGTTACTTATAAAGAATGTGCTCTGGCACAAGTAGCAGTTGGGTAAAGAAAACACACACACACACACACACACACACACACACACACACACACACACACACACACACATTGCAGATATCAGTGCCTGCAGTGACTCAGACACTGAAAAAAAAATCTCAGTGTATTGACTGTAAGATTCCAGTGATAAAAAAAAACAGCAGTGGAAGGACTTAATAAAAGCTACAGCTGTAGACATGGCCCTCATCCAAATATATAGATGAGATAGATGACTTTAAAGAAACAATGTGCAATCTTTTTATGTACATATAAATTACAAGTGCATTTGAATATGTAACTAAACAGTCTGTTTTAATGAAAACATTTACAACTGTTGTCTAGAGTTAGTCTAAAAGCTGCCCATCAAACTGCAGGTTCCGATCCTAAAATAACACTGAACTTGTGGTATGTAGTAACAAACCACAAACTTCACCTTAACTGAAACTCTGCCTCCATAACTAATGTCAAGTATTGTAATAGTTAATTGAAAAAACCTATAACTCCAGGCAAATAATAATTACTATCCCCTGAATCTTGCACTGCACTTAAATCACATACTCTTGAAATTATAT